TTCAAGAGGTCCACGAGGGAAAAATGCACAATATTACCGTGATTACAGAGCACGGAAGCGAGCGGAGCAGGAAAAAGACTCGTTGAATAGAACTAGTGATCCTTCTACGACTGCTGATTCTTCTACTATTAACGTCGCAGGTTGCGAAGTTTAACTTCTTCCGCGCGGAGGGACTCCACGCACTACTTTTTTTCCCATGTTTTCTCTATATTTTTTAACTATTTTATGAGTTCGATATACTTGCAACTTATACACAGTGAATAAAAATTTTTAATTTTTTTAATTTCTTTCGTTTTTCTTTCTTTTCTTTTTATTCTTTTTTCTACTTATACGTATTTCTTTTAGCTAGATTTGCGTGGCTTTTTCTGCTCACAACCCGAATGGTAAAACCCGAAGACCCTCACAGGGGAAACCTGTTCGTTTAAGAATTTACCATAAGATGTTAAATAAAATTTAAAGGAAATCAATTTGCATGTCATCTATGGAAGTTACTTTCTTTTCTTTAAATAAGATCACTTATATATATTCTGGAATTATTAATTATTTTAAATTTATATCAGTAATGAAAGTGGGTGAAAAAATATGAAAACAAACTTTAACTGATTACAACATTCAGTTATTTGAAGCATTAGCGAGAAATATAGGTTACAACTCATATAATTTATGAAGATTTTACTTTCAAACTAAAGTGATGTGAATTAAAGCACTATAACGAGCAAAATTGCATGATGTTCATCATTTACATTTATATGTAACTTGAACGCTGGCGTTTTCAAATTATATATATGTTTTCATTTTATAATTATAACTGTTATGAAAATGAGGGAAAAATTCCTTTTATAAAGAGAACAAATGAGGCACCCAATTCAGAAAAAGGAGAGGACCAATTTTTATTTATTATATTTTAATACACTTTTGAATGTGAACAACATCGCTGCTTTCGATTACCCGGGCACTGAAGCAACCCGATTGAATGGAAGAACCTCGCACAATTATAAAATCTGTTATTTTTTATGATGTAAGCATAGGTAAAGAAAAAACAATGTTAACCTAAATACACACTCTCCAACCACAACAGGATTTCCTGCTTTCTGAAATTATTTTTCTTAGTGGTAGCAAATATTATGTAAATTTCTTATAATTAATATATAAATATAAATCATTAATGCATCAATATAAACCAAAATTAAAAGAATTTTGCCCACCACTACACATAAACATTAGCAATTTTGTTTTGAAAAAAAGGAAGAAAAGAAAGGACAATTTTTTTTGTTTTGAAGTTCTGTCAAAAGTTTTATAAAAACGGTATTTACTTTAAAAATTTCCTTTTAACACCTTCTGCTTTAAAAATCGCTTGATTTCCCACAGTAGACTTGTATTATGGACAAGTAGCGTTAGTAACAAAAACACCACATGAAAAAATATTTTGCTAAAACCTCATATACTGAAAGTATGCCTTTCCATTTCCTAATTTTATTTTGCGCTTCTCTGCAATGCCTTTGTATCAAAATTCTTAAATTATACTTCACTCATTGATGCCTCTCATCCTTTCAAAACGATCTTTCTTTTTTCATAAAAAATGGAGGTAGTATAGGTGATTCTTTAAAATTTATTTTGGAGAAATAAAATAAGTTCTATCTGCTGTAATATATTATTAATTTAATTGTTTATCTGGACCTGAAGTCAATGAACAGTGCTCTTTTAAAGCAATGGTGGTAGGTAACAAGAGAAAATGCTCACTTGGTATAAATAAACATGTACTACCTACATCACAGGTATTTTTCATTAATAGACCACTTTTGTAGCTCAGTACTAATGGCTTAATTGCAAAATTGGTTTAACGTAATTCATACACCTTATACCTTAAATTGCTTCAAGATTAAATAATTCTTTTTGAGAAAAATGACGAAAATTAGCAGAATCAAATCATTAAAATGTATGTGATATTTATTATATTTAAATAATTTTTAAACGTAGATTCTTAAAATTAAAATTTTATTCTAATTGCAGGGCTCAAAGCTCTTATATAGCCTCCTATAAAAAATTTTTAAAAAAACTTGAGCCGCATTAATTTAAACTATCAAATAAATGCTTAACTTTCACTTCAATTTAAAAATATCATCGCATCCCCCCCCCCTCCATTTATTTGAATCTCAACCAATTTCATATGAAATTGTGTCACAAGAACATCTGACAAATTGTATTGTATAAATTAAAGATTTTTTTTAAAGAAACAAAAGCTAGCAAATTAAGGCATAAATTAAGTCTGAGTAATAAACTGAAATTGAGAAAATGTGATAGTATGATTTTTCACCGCTAGGTGGCAGCAGGAAGAATTAGTCTTTTTACGAAGAAAGCTAAGAAATTAAAACTTAAAATAGTGAATTAAAGTAAAAATAATTAAAAGTCTTAACACATGAGCTTTCGAATATAAGAGGTGAAAGGCTATAATTTAGGTTGTCTCCGAAATATCCTATATGTAGTAAAACAGTGCTACTAATTTTAGAACAAAATCTAGTCACATATATTTTTTAATGTAACGTGTTAGTTAATATATTTCGTTACATCCAAAAATAAACGAAAAATATTATAACTCTCTTACCACAATTTTAATTTAATTTAATTTTAAAATTTTGAATTAATTTTAAAAGGAGGCTTTGATGCCTGTAATTATAAGTTTGAAAAGCAGGTGAAAAATCTCCTTTAACAGGGATGGAGGGATGCCACAGGAGCCTAATTATGTCACACGTGGTGTTTAATAAAAATTTATTAAAAGAGATAAAAATTAGTAATCTTTTCTAGCATATTTCTTTCAGTCTACAACTGATCGTGATTGAGGAAAAGTTTTTTCGCTTTAAATATAAATATTTTACAATGTATGTCACGGTGGTAATTCACGATTGAATAATTAATAAATTGAATAAATAAAATTGAGCTTCTACTACTTCTTAAAATTTTAGTCGCCTGTGACATCCCTGCCTTAAGAATAAAGAGAGAATTACATTGTTAACACTAGAACAGCCGGATTTCGGACTTACCTAAAACCGCCATTTAGGGTCAATTTGACCCTCTTAAGAAATTTATGTTATTTCAAAGAAAATGATTTTTTAAATGATGAATATTGTTGAAAATACAATATGTAAGAGTTTTTAGCGATTAAAAAAAAAATTGTTTTCGTCTTTTTATTTTATTATCGCTATGACAATATTATCAGGGCCCGACTTCTTTGGGGGGCCCCCACTGCTTTACTACTTCAGTAATGAAGAATTGAACTTTATGGAGGCATTTTAATTTTTCATCTCATTATGCATTTATAACAAGAAAATTGACTAGAGCCTAAAATAGCTATTCGCCCCCCCCCCTCCAATAATATAGTTCTGCCCCCCCNTATCGTTCTGTCCATTTTATTAATTTTCTGACAATTTTATGCCCATTATGCCGAATGCAGTTTTCTGATTATTCAACTTTGTCATCTAGCTGTGAAAAATTCATATCCTTGCTGACATTAGGGCCGAATTCAGCTAAATTTTCGTAATCTGTACTTTTTGTAAACATATCGCATTTTGCAATATGTAAAAATACAGTTTTTTGGCCAAATTTGTCCATTGTAATTGCGAAAATTTAGCTGAATTCTGCACTAGCAAGCCATGGATTTACGAAA